AAAAACCCCCCCACACACCAAAAAACAAACAAACAAACAAACACCAACAGAACAAAAACCACAAATAAACAAAAAACAAACAAACAAACAAAGAAAACAAAAACCAAAAACCAACAAGTGCTTGCTGAATAATATCAATTCCTAATTTCTTTAAATTAAGCAGATCTCAATCTTGACTTCAAAATGGCTTCCGAGAATATACAGTCTTTGCCATGACCCCTTCTTAATCTATTGCTCCACATGGACGTATTGGAAAGTTTGAGATTTAGGGTGTCCAAAATATTCTCAATGTATAACAAACCTGACACTTAATAATTCTTTCTACAAAATGATGTGATGATTATAAATTTTGACAGCAATGTAAGGTCACACTGCATAAATGCATAAACTGCTGAAAGTCTTGAGTTTACAATACAGCATGCCATCACCAATATTAGCACCATATGGCAGCTGGCAAGCTTCCACTGACTGCCCTCTGTTGTGTCCCACATTTACTAGCATTGGATTATTCAAAGGGAGAAAACAATAGTACAGTTTCATGAAAGTGGAGCTTTTATATTTATGATATAGCCATAAGTAGCCATACAACAGGAAAATGGTGAACAAGACTCTATACTATTCATACGTGTTCACCCATATCTGCAAAAGTATGTGGAGCCACATACTCTAATGCAACAGCAGGTTATCAAACACACATGCAGAAAGTCTTTATCACAGCAAAATGCCTTCTTAGAACTTGGAAATTACTACATATCTCTTTGCCTGTGATCAACAGTCAGGATTTAAATCAAATCTTCCAAGATTAAAGCTAATAAGTTATGAGAACGCATCATCAAAATGAGTCCATTGGCATAACAGCTGTGACAGAATCACTGCTTTCCCTGTAATCAAGCAGTAGTTTTGCGTGCATAGTAATTACATAACAACCTATGTGCCCTTGATCCTCACCTCTGCAACATATGCTTGCAAACATTTTGTAAGCAGGGCAAACCATTGCATGCATCCATGTTACTAAAAAGATGGTAGCTGCGTAATACATGTTGTTGTTACACTGGCAGATTTCTGTTGCTGACAATGCGTGGATCCATAACTGGCCAACTGAACACAATCTGTGCACATTCACAATTAATACTTCTATCACTTAGATCAATCATCAACAAAGAATTACTTCATCATGCTGTGAAATGGTCTTCTTTTTATTACAGTAGAGTGACAGAGATTTTTTATTTGGTTCTAGGCATTTTAGATTGGATAACCCATGTGGTTGAAAAGCCACAATAGTCTTTATGAAACCATGTATTTAAACACTGAATAAGTTCTCAGCAAACCTTGGTACAAGCACTATTCAATGTAGTTGCTAAAACAGGCTTGTGGATACCTGATGTAAAACTTACCTCAGAAAAGCAACTCCTCAAAAAAATTTCAACACGTTTGGTGGAAAAGGAGTATTTATTATAAAAGGAGTATTTATATATAAACACAATTGTATGGAGTAAGTACTGTTTCTTAATTTGCTATTATAGTTCAGTTTGCAATTTACATTATTAAAACTCATAAACTTTTCCTTAATTCATTCTTCTCATTGCTAATTTCCTTCTATTTAAGATTGAATGTCTACAAGTATTTTCACATACTTATTGTAAAATTCTGAATTTCAGTGACATTACGTAAAATAATTCAAGTGGATTAAAAACTAGTTTAGCACTATTATGCCTGCATCATATTTCTAGTTGTTGTATATATTATATGGTTTGAAAATTAACTAACTATTAAGAAGGGAAATTCTGTTATAAATATTCGTGTTAAAATTTACAAATATGAAAGATAGATGTTTTTATGTGATTTATATAAAAATATTTCTATGGTTCTTTGTCTTTAGAATACTGTGGTCTATGAATATTGTCTTCTGTGCAACAGAAGATAACAGCCCATCACAGGTGATATAAGAATAATGTTGTCACTTAGGACTATACAAGGACTCTTAGAACATAAACATGAAAGTAGATACTGAAATATAATAGAGTGAGATGAATTTTAAGCATTTATTCTAAACAATTAAGCCACATGGAAAAACTAATATTCAAGGACACAATTTAATACCTATAGTAAATTTTATGTATGACAAGCTGAAATGAAGATTAATTTCCATGG